TCTGCAACCCAGGCTCTGGGATTTTTCTGCGTTTCTGCATCTTGAAAAGGTATTCCGTTCGAATGGTATTGCCCCGTACTAGTGGTCTGATATCCGAGGCGCAGTATGGTACATTTGTTCAAATTGAAGGATAAGAGCCATCTGCGAGACCACTCGTCCAATCGACAAAGATTTTCTTGGAAGTTGATCTCATCGGCAGCATTGTGGATGACTTTCCAGATTTTTATGTCATCTGCAAACATGGCACTATCACAGTCCAACCCATCTACACAATCATTGATGAAGAAGAGAAAGAGGGTTGGTCCGAGCACCGAGCCTTGTGTGACTCCGCTCTCTATGAATGTGTGCCTTGATTGCTGTCTTTCTACGCAGACAATTTGGGAGCGGCCGATGAGGAAGTCCTCGATCCATTTGAGATGTTTGCAGCCGATGCCAATTATTCTCAACTTGGGCAGGAGACGCTGGTGCGGACCACTGTCGAACGCCTTCCGAAAATCAATATAAGCCACGAGCACAGTGTGTTTTGCGTCCAGTGCTCTTGTCCAACTTTGTATTGTATACAGTACGTTCGTTACGCATGGTCTTTCCATACGGAAACCATATTGTGCATTGGGCAAGAGGATGTGGCTTTCCAGATAAGCCATCAACTCCTTTTTGATGATTTTCTCCATCACTTTGCAGCAGATTGATGTCAAACTGACGGGTCTGTAGTTCGTTGCAAGAGCACGACTACCGCTTTTGTAAAGGAGTATAATGTGGGCCGTCTTCCAGTCTGTGGGAAGGATTCCAGCATCAAATGATTCCTGGCACAGAAAGGATAGTGGTTTGGCCGGCTGTCGGGAAAGCTCGAAAAGCAGCTTTGGTGGGATCTCGTACGGACCGGGAGATTTACATTCCTTCAAGCTTTTTAGTTGTTCAAAAATCGTTTCTGCTCGAAACACGATATCTTCGATGGTAGGATCTCCCATGTTCTCGGAACTAGTTGGAATAAAGTCTGCTTCTCTTGTGAAAACGGATTGGAAAAATTGAGAAAAATGCTCGGCTTTATTTGTACTGTCCGATATTTCCAAACCGTCACTATTTCTCATGACAGGAATGGGATTCCTGTTAGTGTGCTCTTCCGCAAGTAGCTGTAGAGCAATTTCGGATTTTTAACGGCTCGGTGAAGCAATAACTCTCGAAATCCCGTCGCCTATTGAAAATCAGGCTTTTCACCTTATTTCTTTGAACTTTATATTCTGTAAACGCTGCAATGTTGTTGTTTTCGCAAAATTTCTCCCACAACCGTCCTTTGTTGTTGATTTCCTTTTTGAGTTCACTTGATAGTCACTGGGGGCGGTTGGATGTCCTAGGCTTTGATACGGGACAGTGATTCCTCATTAGATGCAGCAACCGATCCTTGAACAAATTCCAGTCCTCGTTAACGTTTC